TGCCCTCTTCTGCATTTCTCATTTCACTCTTTGATTCTTCAGCTCCAGAATTTCTGTGGTTCTTCCTTATGATGTCTATCTGTTTGGTTAAAAGTCTCATTTTGATCGTGTATTTTTTTTTTCTTTCTGAGATTTTGTTGAATCGTCTTTCCGAGTTTTCTTGTAGCTCATTAAGTTTCATCAAAACAGCAATTTTGAATTCTTTATTGGCTAGATCACAAATTGAACTCAGTGGAGAATTTTCTTTTTGTGATGACATGATTTCTTGATTTTTCATGTTCCTTGTAATTTTTCATTGCTGCTTTCACATTTGAAGTAGCAGATACCTCCGAAATCTTTATTAGTTGGCTTTAATGGGGTTTTCCATTCGATGGTGTTACTATCTGGATTTTCTCCCTCTCTGTGGGTGCACCTGCTTCATTCTTCCTGCTCCCGCTTGTGGCTGGATTCGTAAGTTTTATGGCTTCTCTAGTTCTTAGAACTCACTGGAAACCTCTCTTGTTTTCCAGAAGGTGGTGCTAAAGCTCAAGTTTGTGGTTCCTTCCTTGCCCATTTTCTGAGTGGGCTCCCTGTCTACCAGAGTTCTCTCTCATGCTGCACACAGGAACACACACAAGGAGCCGGCACAGAGGGAGAGGAGGTGTGGGATAGTGCTCAGGCACTGGGGGTACCTGCAGACCCAGTAGGGATACCCTCTGAGTGTGATACTCCCAAGGCTTGAGGGTGCACTTCCTGCTGCATAAGATTCCTTTTATTCCCTTTGAAATTCTCATCTGCCTCTCTCCTAGCCGTCTGTCCTCCCAGTCGTGGAGGTTGGCACTCTGGGCTCCGCTGGAGAGAAGTGAGTTTCTCTAGCTTCTTCCCACACAGCTGGGGTAGCCTGGCACTTCCTCACCGCTGTCCTTTCCTCCAGGGGAGAGGTTGCCGCAGTGGGAGAGATCAGTCCCTGGGCAGTGTTTCCCTGGTGGTGCAGTGCTGGGGAAGTTTCCTTGACCGCCGCCTCTGCTGTGACCAAACTCTTATTTTGTATTGGGGTTATTTTTTTGCTCCAGTGGCATGCTGGAATCTCCCTGCGGGACATCTGGACTTCTGCATATTCTCTCGTTTATAGGTCTGCCCAGGTCAGCACTATGCCAGCCTTAGTGAGAGGGGTCTGGGCAGACCTGCTGGTTGCGCTAGTTCCACAGCAGTACCGAGATGTTTGCCTATTACTGCGTGTGTGAGTGAGTGAGCCTCCACCTGGTCCCGGGTGTGTGGTGTCAGATTCCACAGCACCCACAGGGGAGCTTTTCTCCCTGTGGACGGATGTCTAATTTGTTTAAAAACGGGGGTTAAAAGGAACATCTTGCTCTACTGTGATGCCAACGTCATTCTGCTTTTTGTAAATTACTATTTTTTTTGTTAAAGCAGGTCCCTTATTCAGAGGCCTATAGTAGGAAACTTATTCTTAGCAAGACTTGAGTAACTGCATGTCTTTTTGAATATTACAGAATTATGACTTTTTAATAAATCAAAGCTTTTCTTGCAGATCTGTCCTCCCTCTTTCCTTCTGTGCCCACCCCAGTGTTTAGAATAAATATCAGGTGTTTGATTATTTCCATATGCTGTTGACCCTTGAGCAACACGAGGTTGAACTATGGTCCACTTACACACGGATTTTTTTCCCAGTAGATCTGCTCAGTTCAGTTGATGGGAGTTCAGTTGACCTGCTCAATTCACTGGACCCGTGCAGTTCAAACCTGTGTTCAAGGATCAACTAGCTGGAATCGGCGTATGCGAAGGGCAGTTTAATTTCTATGTGGATTTTCAACTGCATTGGGGGTGGGCACCCTAAATCCCCACGTTGTTCAAGGCACAAGCTGTGTTCTTTACTGCAAATGTCTTTTGTTTATCCCTTATGCTAAGTAAAGATAGAGGCTAGAGTTATGGACAGTATACTTTTAAATAGAGGAGTTTGATTACGAAGCTTGTTTCCCTATCCTTCTGCAAAGCGAGCGGTACGTCCCATATTTTGGACAGTGGGCTCGCTCTGCCCTGCCAGCTTAGAGGACAGCCCTATGGATCCAGGGAAGGCAGACCTGTTCGGTATTACTTTGCTTTCACAGACTTAGGGTGTTTCAAAGCTTGCGTTTCAATATCTGTGTTTAATTCATCAGGATCTAACTGGAAAAAATAGTGTCTATTTTTGGGTTTCGGTGATTCTGTTTGGCCATGACAAATCAACAAATCAACGGTAGTGTCTAAAAATTTGTCAGAGTAAAAGCCCTCTTCCCCCAACCCTAGGCTTTCCCGGGGACCCTGGGGAGGTTTTGTTGACCCAGATAGATAGATGTACACAGTTCCTTCTCTGTGAGGCCTTCTGAGCATCTTTTCCAAAGCACTATGAGGATGAGCTCATGTACATGAAATGCATACACGAGGGCGCATGCATGTGTGTGTGTGGGTGTGCGTGCGTGAGTGTGTATGTCCAGCTTACATTCTAGTCTCTCTGTCAGTCAGAGAGGTGGACACAGATGCCCACAGCTCAGGGCAGAAGACGGCAGCGTTCCATCTCTTGGGGCCCAGCTTGGGAAATAAAAATAGAGTAAGCTGGGGGCTTGAGAGGGATGCAGGAATGATGAGATCAGCAACTAACTTTATTGAGTGCTTCCGTGAGTTGACTTACTTAACCCTCAAAGAATCATGTGGAGTAGGCGCCACCATTACTCTCATTTCACAGGTAAGGAAAATGAGGCAGGGAGAAGCCAAGTGAGCTCCCCGGGTCACATAGCTACTAAGTGACAGGGAGGGATAGGAAGGAACAGGTGGTGTCCAGTGGAAACCTTATCGCAGACCTGGGTACCGTCCTTCCTGGGCATTCTGTTGATGCACAGAGGGGAACCGGAGTCTCACTCTTGTGCAGTGTCACCGCCCAGTGGATGGGGTATAAGAAATTGTAGAATTCTAAAATCTTCTGGTGATCCCTCCCCTCCCCTGAAGCATAAGTCTTCTTCCAGGAACTCTTCCAGCCTCAGCTAGGACACCTCAGAGGGTTGAGGAGTTTAGTTTCTCATGAGGCAACCCTGTTTTGGGACAGTTTGAAGTGGTAGAAAGTTCTTGAAGCCTCCCTCTCAGCCCCATCGGTCCTCTGCAGCTCCCTTAGAGCTCAGGGGCCTTCCTCTTGCATGAGGGGAGCAGGGGCTGCCCGCCTATGTCTGCCCCCCACGGTGAGAGGCTGTCTCGACAGGAGCCCCTCCAGAGGAAGGAGGAGGAAGCCGAGGGTTAGAGTGGGGCAGCCTGTCTTCCACGGGGAGTGGTCACTACCTGCCATCCAGGGGGAGCGATCACTACCTGCCATCCAGGGGGAGCGATCACTACCTGCCATCCAGGGGGAGCTATCACTACCTGCCATCCAGGGGGAGCGATCACTCCCTGTCATCCAGGGGCAGTGATCACTACCTGCCATCCAGGGGGAGCGATCACTACCTGCCATCCAGGGGGAGCGATCACTACCTGTCATCCAGGGGGAGCTATCACTCCCTGCCATCCAGGGAAAGTGATCATTACCTGTCATCCAGGGGCAGTGATCACTACCTGCCATCCAGGGGGAGCGATCACTCCCTGCCATCCAGGGGGAGCGATCACTACCTGCCATCCAGGGGGAGCGATCACTACCTGCCATCCAGGGGGAGCGATCACTACCTGCCATCCAGGGGCAGTGATGACTCCCTGCCATCCAGGGGCAGTGATCACTACCTGCCATCCAGGGGGAGCGATCACTACCTGCCATCCAGGGGGAGCGATCACTACCTGTCATCCAGGGGGAGCTATCACTCCCTGCCATCCAGGGAAAGTGATCATTACCTGTCATCCAGGGGCAGTGATCACTACCTGCCATCCAGGGGGAGCGATCACTCCCTGCCATCCAGGGGGAGCGATCACTACCTGCCATCCAGGGGGAGCGATCACTACCTGCCATCCAGGGGGAGCGATCACTACCTGCCATCCAGGGGGAGCGATCACTACCTGTCATCCAGGGGGAGCTATCACTCCCTGCCATCCAGGGAAAGTGATCATTACCTGTCATCCAGGGGCAGTGATCACTACCTGCCATCCAGGGGGAGCGATCACTCCCTGCCATCCAGGGGGAGCTATCACTACCTGCCATCCAGGGGGATCGATCACTCCCTGTCATCCAGGGGCAGTGATCATTACCTGCCATCCAGGGGCAGTGATCACTACCTGCCATCCAGGGGGATCGATCACTCCCTGCCATCCAGGGGGAGCGATCACTACCTGCCATCCAGGGGGAGCGATCACTCCCTGCCGTCCAGGGACAATGATCACTACCTGCCATCCAGGGGGAGCGATCACTACCTGTCGTCCAGGGACAATGATCACTACCTGCCATCCAGGGGGAGCGATCACTCCCTGCCATCCAGGGGGAGCGATCACTACCTGCCATCCAGGGGGAGCGATCACTACCTGCCAGGCCCATGACCTCCTTACAAATCCACCTGGGAAGACGGGAGATTCGAGGCATGCCTTCACTACGCCACATGGACACTTTTACTCTGGGACCACCATGCACAGAGTCAAAGTGTGGCTCCTGCCCAGTGTTTCTGACAAGACCCAAGGAGCAGGATTTAACACCACCATGCAGTCCACCATTCACTGAAACACAGCACCCAGCGACCGCAGCAGCTCCGGGCAAGGGCAGCAAGGGCTGTTTTTGCCTTTTCCACACTGTTTTTGTTACGTTGTCTGCGGGGAGTGTGTGTGCCTGTCTTCTCCCTGCAGGTGTGTCTCCCACACAGAGCAAGGAGGCCCCACCTGGACCGCAGCTCTGGAGGACGAGTGGATGGCTCTCCTGCTGGGCTCTCCCTGTCGTCTGGTGGGAGGAGGGCAAGTGGGAAATCTCATTTTCCTTCACTGTTTCTTACGTGTTGAATGATTTCCCCTCCCTGATTGTTACTGAGGAGCCTTGCACGTTCGTTGCGCCCTCACATGGTCTGCGTATTCTTCATCAGGCTAAATCACCTTTTCCTTTCCTCTTCCTGCAGACCAGCGGCAGGCATGATGAGCACGAAGGCCTTCACGCTGGTCCCTGCCGTGGACCGGGAGCTGCTGGCGGGCGACAGGGAGCGCGTCAGCATAGAGTGCGTGGAGTGCTGCGGCAGGAACCTGTACGTGGGCACCAGCGACTGCGCCATCCACCACTTCCTGCTGGAGGAGCACACCCTGCCCGCCGGCCTGGCCACCTTCACGGCCACCAGGCAGCGGCATAGACCCCTGGGCTTCAGGAAGCCCGTGACTGAGCTGCGAGCCGCCTCGGCCCTGCACCGGCTCCTGGTGCTGTGCGACTGCTCCATCACCCTGGTCAACATGCTGAGCCTGGAGCCTGTGCCCTCAGGGGCCCGCATCAAAGGGGCCCTGGCATTGGCCGTGAACGAGAACCCCGTGAGCGCGGACCCGTTTTGCGTGGAGGTCTGCATCATCTCTGTGAAACGCCGAACCATCCAGGTGTTCATGGTGTACGAGGACCGGGTTCAGATCATCAGGGAGGTGTCCACGCCGGAGCAGCCGCTGGCGGTGGCGGTGGACGGCCACTTCCTGTGCCTGGCCCTGACCACCCAGTACATCATCCTGAACTACAGCACGGGCGCCGCCCAGGACCTCTTCCCCTACTGCAGCGAGGAGAAGCGCCCCATCGTCAAGCGGATAGGGAGGCAGGAGTTCCTCCTGGCGGGCCCGGGAGGACTGGGTGAGCGCTAAGCTGTCACCTCCCCAACCTTCGCTCCCGTCTGCCCCTTCTCTCTGTACCTCCACGACTTCATGCTGAAATTAGACTGGTCACAAAGCCAGCTGTTTTTAAATTTTACCTTTCAGTTACAGTTGACGTTCTTTGCTATTTTTTATTAGTTTCAGGTGTACAGCATAGTGGTCAGACAATCCTAGACTTTACAGAGCAATCCCCTGATATTTCAGGTACCCACCTGATACCACACATGGTTTTTGCACTATTACTGACTGTATTCCCTGGGCTGTGCGTGTCAGCCCCGTGACTATCCTGTAACTACCAGTCTGTGCTTCTCAGTCCCTTTGCTGTTTTCACCTGGTCCCCACCCCCTTCTCATGTGGCAGCGCTCAGTCTGTCTCTGTACCTGTGAGTCTGCATCTGTTTCGTTTATTTTGTTCTTCAGTTTTATTTTGTGCTGACAAGGAGCCTGAAGATGGCTCCAGGGAGAAAATTCCTTTAAGTCAATAACTACAAACAGAAAAGATAAGATTTTTTCGGGTGAGTGTGTCCTGAAAAGGATTCGAGGTAGCTCGCTGGTAGGTCTGTTCAGATGTGAGCACCTCAGTGTTACGGACATAATTTTCTTTAATGGACAGATTTCATTCCAGCAAAAAGGTTCCAGTGGCCAGCTCCTTGAGAGGGCTTTGGTGGTTTTGTAGGGTTTTCCCAATTCTTTGCCCTGCCTTACTGAAGCTGAGAATCAGAGCGGCTGACCTCACAGGCGACCTGTGCTGTTTTCTTTCTGTCGTGGGTGGTCCACCTCAGGTGTGCGCAAGTCTACATTGCTCAGGTGCTCTGTGATGTGCAGGTGGTGGATGGCTCACCTCAGGTGTGTGCCTGTCTGTGGTGCTCAGGTGCTCTGTGATGTGCAGGTGGTGGATGGCTCACCTCAGGTGTGTGCATGTCTGTGGTGCTCAGGTGCTCTGTGATGTGCAGGTGGTGGATGGCTCACCTCAGGTGTGTGTATGTCTACAGTGCTCAGGTGCCATGTGATGTGCAGGTGGTAGATGGCTCACCTCAGGTGTGCACATGTCTGTGGTGCTCAGGTGCTCTGATGTGCAGGTGGGGGATGGCTCACCTCAGGTGTGCACATGTCTGTGGTGCTCAGGTGCTCTGATGTGCAGGTGGGGGATGGCTCACCTCAAGTGTGCGCATGTCTGTGGTGCTCAGGTGCTCTGATGTGCAGGTGGTGGATGGCTCACCTCAGGTGTGTGCATGTCTGTGGTGCTCAGGTGCTCTGTGATGTGCAGGTGGTGGATGGCTCACCTCAGGTGTGCGCATGTCTGTGGTGCTCAGGTGCTCTGTGATGTGCAGGTGGTGGATGGCTCACCTCAGGTGTGTGCATGTCTGTGGTGCTCAGGTGCTCTGTGATGTGCAGGTGGGGGATGGCTCACCTCAGGTGTGCGCATGTCTGTGGTGCTCAGGTGCTCTGTGATGTGCAGGTGGGGGATGGCTCACCTCAGGTGTGTGCATGTCTGTGGTGCTCAGGTGCTCTGTGATGTGCAGGTGGGGGATGGCTCACCTCAGGTGTGCGCATGTCTGTGGTGCTCAGGTGCTCTGTGATGTGCAGGTGGGGGATGGCTCACCTCAGGTGTGTGCATGTCTGTGGTGCTCAGGTGCTCTGTGATGTGCAGGTGGGGGATGGCTCACCTCAGGTGTGCGCATGTCTGTGGTGCTCAGGTGCTCTGTGATGTGCAGGTGGGGGATGGCTCACCTCAGGTGTGTGCATGTCTGTGGTGCTCAGGTGCTCTGTGATGTGCAGGTGGGGGATGGCTCACCTCAGGTGTGCACATGTCTGTGGTGCTCAGGTGCCCTGTGATGTGCAGAGTGAGTGCACCTTCCCACGGGAGTCCTTTCTCCACAGAGAGCTTGGGTGCAGACTTCTTATTTCACAGTGATGGGTATAAACATTTTCTGGTAACAGCAAAACTTGAGGTTATGAACTAGGTAGTATACACTTCTTGATTATTTCGTTTTAAAAATAGACTTTATTTTTTAGAGCAGTTTAGGTTCATAGCAAAAGTGAGCAGAAAGTACAGATTTCCAGCATACCCCCTGCTCCAAACAATACAGCCTCCCCCACTGTCGATATCTCCCGACAAAGGGGTACATTTGTTACAACGGGTGAATCTGCATTATGTTGTTGTAATCACCCAAGCCCAAGGTTTATATTAGGGTGCCCTCTAGGTGTTGCACATCCTGCGGGTTTGGACGAATGTATGGTGACTTGTGCCTGTTTGGAGTATCCCCACTGCCTTGGCCATCCCTCCGGTCAGCCCGCCCGACCCCTGCAGCGGCTGCTGTCCCAGTGCCGCACTGGAGGTCTTACAGCGGGCAGCCTTTCACACCCACTTCTCTCAGCGACGTGCATTTAATTTCCTCCGTGTCTTTTCATGGCTGTTAGCTCAGATTTTTACTTTTTGGAAAAAAAGTTTTTTACCCAACCACCTTTTTAAAGAAATCAATTTTAATGAAAATTTTTATTATGGAAACATATATAGTAGAAGAGAGTAGTGTAATGGCCCCAATGTACCCGTCACCCGGCGTCAGCCTCTGCCAGGTCCTTCCCAGTGTGCGATTTGTACACTAACCACTCCTCTGCTCGCTTATTCTCAAGCCAATAATAGACATCATAGCATTTTACCTGTAAACATTTTAGTAGGTACTTCTAAGTTATTTTAAAAAAAGAAAATCTTGCCCTAGCCAGTTTGGCTCTGTGGTTAGAGTGTCAGCCTGCAGGCTGAAGGTCCCGGGTTCAATTCTGGCCAGTTACAGGCTCAGTCCCTGGCCCCGGTCCGGGCACGTGCTGGAAGCAACCAATTGATGTGTCTCTCTTTCTATCTCTATCTCTTTCTCCCTTCCACTCTCTCTGAAAAGCAATGGAAAAAATATCCTTGGGTGAGAATTTAAAAAAAAGAAAAGAAAGAAAGAAAACCATAACACCATTGCATACCTAAAACAACTAAACAGTAATTGCTTGTCACCAACTATCAAGGTGTGTCACATTGCTGTGATCATGTGTGTAGAGACACCCATCCATACATGTGTACATGCATTTGTGTTGAAGTGCGTGCATGTTCATTTTTCAGTTCATATGGTGAAGTTCATGCCAGGCCCAGATGTCACAACCTGAGGACACATCTGTTAAGCTTCTCTTAGCCTTAGGTTCCCTCTCCTTCTCTTTTTATTTTTCTTTAACTTTTTGTTGAAGAAATTAAATCATTTCACTGATAACGTCTGAATTTTGGTGATTTTACCCCCTTATATTGTGGAATATGTGAGGCCACCATGATATGGTTCAGAATATTAAGTTCAAACCTCACTCTAATGAGCGTAAGCCCTTTAAGCATTTGAAAGCTCTGCGTTTTCACTTGCTTGCTTTCTGAAGGTAACATGCCCACTCCTGTGTCATGAGAAATTGCTCTTAACGTTTTTGTCTTAGTTTAAGTTTTACTATTTTAAGCAATGTTTTATTGAAAATAGCATAATACAGTTGACTATTGGGACTTTAAACTCGATCGTTTGATAATGCTTGTTGAAATTGCAAATAATTCAGTTACTGCTCACCCCCATGGCTAGCCCCTCCCAACTCAGACAAGGGGTGCACTGATATTTAGAGGGCACGCAATCAAAAGTTACGGTTTTTAAAGGTTTTTACCACTTACAAATTTTTTTATCTGCACTTTAACAATATGGAAACAATAGGTTGTCACCTGTTCAGCCGGTGGATGGATAGCTGGCAGCTGGAACAGGGTGCCTTCTGTTTCTACGTGGATCGGTGGCACTTCATGATTCTCGACTTGGACCTCCAATTGCCAGCGGCTGCTCTGCCCTTTTATTCTTGCCAAGTCTCCTGCTCTTCTGTTGGTGTAGAGGTCTTTGTTCTTTACCTCTGGGCCCTGCCCTTTTCATTTTGGGGAACATTCATGCATGGCCTCCGCACTGCACAGCTTTAGGTCTGGGCAACATTTAGGTGTCCACATTCCATGAGGGTTGTGCTGTACAGAACACAGTCATCTCACCTGAAGTTCAGCAGAACCCTTGGCATGACATACGCTTCCCCAGTGTTCGGGTTAGGTGGTGGGCAGGGCGCCGGTGCCCGCTTTGAGTTCTCAAATGGCCGGTTCTGACCGCATGGAGAGTTCAAGTTCTTGCGCCCCTGATGTGCTCCTCCAGCTCTTCACCTTAGTTTCAGATTCTAATGCGCCCCATAGCTTTGCACCTCACGTTTCTCTCCTTCAGGACTTTTTAATGTATTTTGAGTACTTTGGTGATGCAGTTGTTGGGTTCATTCGGACCTGAGTTACGCCTGTTTCCCCCAGCTGTGCGCGTCTCCAGCTGTGCGCATCATCCCACCATTGTGTTCGATCTTACCTCGTAGTCCTGAACCATCTCAGTGTATCTTCCACATTTCTATGGAATCCTGCTTCCTGTCTGCTTCGGCAAGAAAGGAAAACAGGAGGCCCTCAGCTGCTGCAGGAGCAGCCCAGGGTGGTGCTGCATGGACACGTGTCCTCTTGTGCCATCTCATGTTCTGTCCCTGCTTTTGGTGTCCTCTGTGGAACCGTGTGTCCCCCTGAGAAAGCACCTGAACTCCAGGCTCTCCTCTCGCAGAATTCTCTCAAGTTCCACAAAGTACAAACCTTGCCTCCCAGCCAGCCCTGCCCCAATTTCTGTCTTGTTTGAGGCCCAACCCTGTTAATCCTGAGGCTGTCAGCCACACGGCAGCCTCTGTCTCACTCTCTCTTGCTCCCACTAAGTCAGGTCCCTTTGAAAGTCACCCCTTCCTTTTTGTACCCCTAGCCTCCTTCCTGGTGAGGCAGCTTCGTGGCCTTCCCTGTGTCCCTGTATCTGGGCCTCCCTCCTTCAGTGCCGCCTCCTCCACCTTCCGGCCCAGTGGTTTCTCCACAGCACCTGTGATCCTGTAATGCCTTCAGGCTGCGCTCCTTGGCCTGACCTTCCAGGTCAGGGCTTCCTGCTCTCACAGAAACATAGTCTCGCAAGGATCGTCCCATATGCAGGGCATTGTGTTATGTTTCCTATCTAGATATTCAGCAAAAGTGGGGGATACTCTGCATTCAGACACAGAAAAGAAACGGCATAGTTATGGGAAGCCTCCTAACGCCTCCTGTTTTTCTAGGCATGTTTGCCACCGTCGCTGGGATTTCTCAGCGGGCTCCCGTGCACTGGTCAGAGAACGTGATCGGGGCGGCCGTCTGCTTCCCCTACGTCCTGGCACTCGATGACGAGTTCATCACAGTCCACAGCATGCTGGACCAGCAGCTGAAGCAGACCCTGCCCTTCAAGGAAGGCCACGTCCTGCAGGACTTTGAAGGTACCAGTTCACACGGAAACCGTAAGAGATTCAGTTATCCACTCTTCCGTGACATTTCCTCAGTAAATACTGTTAGGGGCTGTTAGGAGCCGGGCCTTGTGCTGAGCGTAGCAGAACGCAGGGGATGGTTGCACACGTTCTGCACTTTGGGGCCCCTGGTCAATGGCGAGAGAGACATTTAAACAGTAGCTACAGCAGTTAAAGAGCCTGAGAGAATGAAGTAAGGACCACTGGGAGAGCAGAGGAGGAAATATTTCCTAGAATATCAGGGAGGGCTTCCTGAAGGAGGTGGCATTTAAGCCAAGCATTTCAGTGAGTAGGAGTCAACCAAGCAGATGTGGAGTGAAAGAACCTTCAGGTAGAGAACCAGGTGCATGCAAATCTGCTCCTCAGTGAACCCTGCCCTTCAGGCGGCGCAAGTAGGTCCATGTGGCTGTGGTGATGCGTGTGAGGAGGGTGGTGTCAGACGATGAGACCAGGGCAGTCAGGAGGGACTGCCTCTTCTGTGCAGGTGAGCCAGGGGCCAGAGTTTTTTTACTTCTCCTAAATTTTATTAGAATGTTTTTATGTACTGAGAAGTGGAGGGAGAAACAAAGTGAACCACTACACACCATTCACCTGGATGTGCCGCTTATTAATGTTGAAAGGAAGTGGAAGACCCAGGGCATTTAACCCCTGATGCGCAGCACAATCTCCTAAGAGCCAGGGCATCTTCCATGTGACCACGAGCCCTTCCACACCTTAGCAAATGAGCCCTAACCTCCTGCCCTTGTTCAGATTCCCCCCCTTGTCCTAAGAATGCCTTTTATGGTCTTTTCTTCAAGCCAGGAACTAATCTAGATTTATGCCCTGCATTTGCCGTTTAAGGATCTTAGCTCACCAGACTTTGCCCTTCCCTGTTGAGATGCTGGGGAGGTGAGCTTACTAAACTCAGTCACCACGTTAAGCCCTGCAGATTCCAGCTGGGGACCCTGACAGGGGCCTCAGAAGGGCACGTTTCACAACAGCATTACGGTGCTGTGTACATCGGGTGCTGGAGGTGGGGCGGGCTCGTGGACACCGAGATGCTGATGACGTGCCCACCCTAGGGAGTAACAAGGGAGGCTTCCTGGAAAGGGGGACACTGGCGCAGAGAAGGGACAGAATCTCACCTGAGTATGGGAGCAGTTACTTTGGTTGTGATGATAGAAGACAGAAAATCTAGACAGGGGAGCAGAGCAGGAAGATCCAGAAGGGAATTGCGGTGACCATCAGGCAGGAGAGGCGAGGCTGGCCGACCCAGGTGGTGGGGCTGCAGCGAAAATGATGGGGGGGGGGAGCCGGGGGAGCAGCAGAGGCTTGGCTGATCCTGAACTCTCCCTCAGTCAGGAAGAAAAGAGCATGTGGTTGCTTCCTGTGAGCAAATAATGGTTAGCTTAAAAAGTGTCTCCAGGAAGGAGGAGAACTCACTTTAACAGCTTCACACTGGGTCCTGGGTGGTGGCTCACTTGGTTGGAATGTTGTCCTATACACCGAAAGGTTGCGGGATTGAGTCCCAGTTAGGGCGCATATTAGGTTGTGGGTTCAATCCCTGGTCGGAGTGCATATGGGAAGCAACCGATCGGTTTTTCTCTCTCACATCGATGTTTCTCTTGCTCTCTCCCTTCCTCTCTCTCTAAAAATCAATAAATATATCCTCAGGTGANCGCTCTCTCTCTCCCTTCCTCTCTCTCTAAAAATCAATAAATATATCCTCAGGTGAGGATTTTAAAAAGAAGCTTCGTACAGGGAGCTGGTCTTGGATTATAGTTCCGACTCTTGGGTGGATGCCTGTGCGAGGTCCCCCAAGGGNGAAGCTTCGTACAGGGAGCTGGTCTTAGATTATAGTTCCGACTCTTGGGTGGATGCCTGTGCGAGGTCCCCCAAGGGAAATGAGGTGACAGTGTTGGCCGCTGGCCAGGTTAGCTCACAGCTTTGTGGGGAGCAAGTGAGGTAGTGCCNGAAATGAGGTGACAGTGTTGGCCACTGGCCAGGTTAGCTCACAGCTTTGTGGGGAGCAAGTGAGGTAGTGCCGAGATATGGAGGTGTTTGTGTGGTAGGTGAGTATGAAATACTGTCTCATGGTTCAGAATGTTGCGTTATAATATTAGTTTCCTATAAACTAACTAACATGGAGAGAAAATAAGTTTTGAACTTTTATATGAGGTGCAACATAATTCTTACGATTTTCATAACTGATCTCTACAATTGCACTAGACTCTGTATTGGGTGCCTACTCAGCTGGTTTTAAATGTATCAGCACTTTCAAATTTAAAAATGCAAAAAAGCATATTTTATACTTTGGAAATGTAGTGTTAAGAGTTTGCCCTTCCCTGACAGTTGGAAGTATGGGACAAAGAAACAAAAGGTGTCATAATTTATAATTTCTGTGGAATTCTGTGTTGGGACAATGCCGATGAAATTGGTCAACAAGTCAGAGCAGGTACATTGGGGGGAAGCAGGGTGCGTTCTTGCAGGCATTATGTCTCCCCCTTACCAACTGTTGGCTTTCTTCCCAGGAAGAGTGATTGTCGCCACAAGTAAAGGAGTTTACATCTTGGTTCCATTACCCCTGGAAAAACAAATACAGGATCTTCTAGCAAGCCACAGAGTGGAGGAGGCGTTGGTTTTAGCAAAAGGGGCCCGGAGGAACATTCCAAAGGAGAAATTTCAGGTTTGTAGTTAGCTGGTCACAAGTTTAACCCCACACAGGCACCCTTCCCATGCACCAGACTTCATGGAGTGATACGTATGTTACCGAGTTCTCCTGGCACATCCACACTGTGCAGGTAAGGGAACAGGTGCAGAGCAGCGGACAGCTGGGCTGACATGGGACTGTTGACAGCCAGGTCAGGCTGTGAGCCTCCAGCTTCCATGCTAATACACCAAGGTATATTTCCGATCAGCTTCTTTCTTCAACGGCCTTCAGAGAAGAACCGGGGCATAGTTCTTAAAACCAAAAGAGTAACGTCAGGTTAATTTGTTTCCTAATTTAGAATTTGTGCTTTTGAGATGGGACTGAATTGTAAAAGTTGAGATTTATATTATCCACAGGAAAAGCTTTGTTAGCCATACTGATGACCTTCTAATGATGCAGGACTCCATCTATCTAATTTCCTTAGGAGAAAATGCATTGAGAAACACTAATATGTTGGTGCAATAAGTATAGTGGATATAATAATCTCAAATTATTCTTTTGCCTAATGAAGTCATATTCCCTAAAATTTGCTACTTGATCAGCTGTCGGGTTAGTCAGGTCACTCTCTGTAGTTGAGAGAAGTAGACTGTCATATGGGTGTGTGTACATCCACATGCATGTCTGAGTGGTCATTAGAAGCTCTCATGGATTAAGAGTGGTGAGCCCTTGATTATTACGAGTGGACCGGATTTCCATACGACATTGTGATTGCTGTGGATGAAATAGTGCTCTTGGGCCTCATTTGCTTTATGCTGAAAAGGTAGATTCTGAGAGTGAAAGACAAGCGGTGTAGTTCATGGTTGTGGGTTGCGAAAGAGGGCGTCTTTTCTATGTTTAAATACAGATGACCTTCTTCCTTCCTAATATTTTTAAAGTAAGACCTGTTAGCACTCAGCAGGGGGCAGCAAAAGCAAAAGGGAGAAAGGCCCTGGTCTGGGCTGTGCTGAGAGCAGGCCCCTCTGCAGGGTCTTCCTGCACCTCCAGCCAGGTGGCCGTGCCCCTCTGCAGGGTCTTCCTGCACCTCCAGCAGGTGGCCGTGCCCCTGTGCAGGGTCTTCCTGCACCTCCAGCCAGGTGACCTTGCAGGAGGCGCTGGTCAGCCCAGCGGGGCCTGAGACCGCCTCTGCCGCGTGCTCTTAGCGCCTCGCTCCTGCTGAATAGTCGGTCCTGTGAGCTGCCGTCTGTACCTGTTGGATGGCTGGAGAGGCCACGTGCTGGGTCCCACCCCTCGAGCTCACATATGTGCACACTTTAAGCCTGTGCGACATTTTCTTAGACGCTTTATACAGTCTTTGTCTCCTTTTTGCTTTTCTCCTCTCTTTTTGCCAGGAGTAGACATGCACAGTGAGTATTAGAGAACATTACTAGTCATCTTGCTCTCTAATCTGGTATCTCAGTTGGCTTTTTCCTTTCTACCATGCTCTCTGCCCTCTCCCTGTTGCTCCAAACACATACATCAAGCCCTGGAAACACACCCTCCGAATGACCTGAGATCCAGCCCTGTTCTCAGTGCCCATCGTTACAGTTGTCACAGCTGTTGCAGCTGCTGCGCAGACCTCCTGTCTCCCCGGTGATGTTAGCAGCCTCCTCGTGTGTGTCTGCTCTGTCCTCCATACCGCCACTGGGGTCATCTTTCTAAAATGCAGACCAACCCGGCCGGGCGTGGCTCAGCGGTTGAGCATCCACCTAGGATCCAGGCCATTGGGGTTCGATTCCCGGTCAGGGCACATGCCCAGGTTGCGGGCTTGATTCCCAGTCCGGTGTGTGCAGGAGGCAGCTGATCAATGACTCTCACCATTGATGTTTCTATCTCTCTCTCTCTCTCTCTCTCCCTCCCTTCCTCTCTCTGACATCAGTAAAGATATATTTAAAAATAAATAAATAAAATAAAATGCAGACCAAATCCTTGCTTAAAATACAGCACTGGGGGCCTGTTGCCCACGGGAGAGCCCACACCCTGCAGGCGCGTCATGCTCCGCCCAGCCCACTTCTCTCCGCCTGCTCCCCTCCATCACCCCTATGAAACGTGCCTGAACCCTACACTTCACGCAGAGGCCGGAGGACTCGGGGAGCTAACAACTGCTGAGCCCTACAATGGGTGAGCTCTCTGAGAGGCATTTTAAAACATTTTAATTCTCAGAACAATAAAAAGAAACCAGTTCCTGTCTGCAGAGACAGAAGCCGCGGCTGGTGCTGACATCAGGCCCCTCGGGCCTTGCCTCCCCACTGCGTGGACTTGCCACGCACTCACACACCTCTCCGCCCTCCCCCTTTGCTGTTGCTGGAGCTGCTCCCATACTTGATAAAATACTATTTCAGTGCTTAAATATTGCCAGTTCTTTGAATCCTTCCAGTTCCTCCAGGCAGAGCGAATAGCTCCTGTGGGCTCTGCAGTTCATGTTAACATTTAACGCACGTCCGCTTACTCCTCAGCTCCATGCTTTCCCCGCCCTGGGATCCTGGGTAGACTCTCTTCCCCTTCTGTTCCCCACCTCCGCTCATTTCTAGGCTGAAATACAAAGGGATGGATCAGTGTAGTTCAGGGCCATGAACTGGTCTTCACACAGCTCTGACATAATGGGTTGTGGAGCAGAGGTTTTTGTTTAGAGATGACTTTTCCTAAATGGGTGTATGTTTTTAGGGATTAGATGTCTCTTATAATAAGGTATGTTACTTATTTTAACTTTAGGGTGCTTGTGACCAAATGCTGGACCCTAGGCTGAGAAACCGCAAGGCAGAGGCAAGGAGGCCAGACGTCAATCGAGGACGTTGTACCCTGTGCTCTTCATTGGTTTTGCTTCACTGAGTTCTGAACCGGGGAGGGATTTATCAGAAGTTTAACTGTGGGACTTGCATTAAGGGAATGTTTCTTCTAGAGATGCAAAGAGGCAGAGAATGTAGCCCTTTAAGAAAGCCTGATTTAAATTATGTTACCGTCAGGATGCACCAAGGCGGCAAAGGTCTGTGTCCAGTTTCCTTGACTTGTGTCCTGTACTGTGGGTGGTATTTATGTCTAAGCTGGGATCTGATGCCTCTCTCTTTTCAGGTGATGTACAGAAGGATTCTGCAACAGGCCGGGTTTATACACTTTGCACAACTCCAGTTCCTGGAAGCTAAAGAGCTCTTCAGGTAATTTGAGGTGCTGGTAGGAAGACTTCCAAGCGCCCCTCTGTGCTTAGGGCTCCACCTGCTGCGGTGCTGTGGTGGGACTGCTCCATGTAGACCGTGCTTCAGGGGGAATGGCGAGGCCACCAGTGCCCATCCCCTGACGTCCCCCCTCTTCCCCCCCCAGCCTTAGTTTAACTGTCCTGCGTCTTAGAGGTGGGGCTGATGCAGGCGTATGTGACAGTCTGGCGAAGAGAGGAGAGGGCAGTTTGAAGAGTGGATTTCATAACCTGGAGGGTTTTTAGGAAAATACTGTTACTCACTTTTCCTTTTCTCCAGAGATATTATAAGAAGCTATGAGTTTAAAACAAAAGCAGGTGCTTCTGGGAGGACTTAGGAAAGCGATTCTTCTGAGGACTGTAAATGGCCTGTTCGTAGTTAGCGCTCTCTCGGGAAGTCGCGTTTCTCCTGTGGGCCGCCTTGCCCTCTGCCCTCACCCCTCCTGTCTCATCCATCCTCCCAGCTGCCCTTCCCTCCCACGTGTGTGCTCAGCGTGCTTCGCAGAAGATTAGGTGAAACCTGCTACCGTAGTCTGAATACCTCACTAAAGCATTGCTTGTGAGCACGTTTTCAAAATGCCAAACTAGAACGAAGTCTGCACAGTTTGGAGCCATCTGCGAGATGAGATATATACGCAGCCTCCAAGGAGAGCCTGCACTGCTCATTGACAACCACGGGCTTGCTGTGCTGTGGCTGCCTCCCAGGCCCGTCTGGAGGGAGTTGGCAGTGTGGCCCGGCTGTGCTGACACCCACCCTGGCTCTGATCTCTTGCTCTGTCACCAGGTTGTTTATAGAGAACAGACTCTGGGTAAAGAAGGGACTGCGTGTGACTCATGGTGCCTCTATGCCTTTTACTGCGGAAATTCTCTGTGCTGTGTCATCTGCTCCTGGAAAGACTAGTAGCTTTGGGGTCTGAGTGGACCCTTTGTCCCCGTGGGCTGAGGCTTTTTTCTCTCATGTCTTGTCTTGTCCCTGCAGAATTGACAACCTCCTCACTTGGGTCACGGCTATCTCCCAAGATATCTTTTTCTCATGGGTTAATTTAAAATACAAGGTGAGCCCTAGCCAGTTTGGGTCAGTGGTTAGAGTGTTGGCCCATGGACTGAAGGGTCCCGGGTTCAATTTTGGCCAAGGACACATACCTCGGTTGCAGGCTCAATCCCAGGGCCTCTGTCGGGGTGCATGTGGGAGGCAACCAGTCGATGTGTCTTTCTCACATCGATGTTTCTCTCTTTCTCTCTTTTCCACCCTCTCTGAAAAGCAGTGGAAAAAATATCCTCAGATGAGCATTAAAAAAATATGTAAAATTAAAATACAAGGTGAGCGGTCATGATGCCTTCCTAGACAAGTTCGCCGGTTTTGTAAGAGAATAAATGTAGGGCTTGTCGGTTGTTAATCCAGGGTTCCTATGCTTTGTACTTCAGCCTCTTTATTGCTTACCTTTAACTCAACTGCTGCTGGGCTTTTGTCAGAGTGTGACCGAGAAAGTGGATATTTGAGGAATAACTCTCCTGAGATAAGCAGGACTCCGCCTTCCCTTCCTGTTTCCAAGGCAGAACTTGCTAATACTCAGGATTGTTTTTCCCAGGATCTGGGCTGGTCCTCAGATTCCTTCTCTGTCTGTTGCTGCCTCCTCGTGGTCAGCGCCAGCAGTGCCGATCGCGCGGCTCCACCACCTCCCTCGCAGTCTCTGTTCCCAGGGGCTTCCCAGGTGCTCTGATCCTGCACCCGGGTTGGGGTCCATAGCTCAGCACTGCTGGCTGCTTTAGGACACTGCTGGCTGCTTGAATTGCTCTGAACCGTTCTCGAGTCACCATGGAAACGGCCGCAGGAGTGCTTGGATCTTCTGTTCCAAGACATTGATGAGAAATTGTAAGGTACGGTCCTGCAAAGCCCCTTCTCTATGGACCAGTCAGCAAACCTGTTAAGATTTAGTGCCAGGGAGACACTGTTTTTAGCAGGACCTTGACCAGACAGCAATGGGTGTTTACTTCATGTCTCTTCCCTACTGTCCGGGAGCCCGGAGCCGACATGGATGGTGTCCCAGTGCTTTGATACGTCACTTCAGCACATGCTGTGCGTGCCTCTCGCTGTGGTCCTCTCTACTCTTCCTTGGAATCAGGTGGTGGCCCTCGGCTCAGTAGTGCTTTGCCTCGCGTGCAAGTGTAGACGGTCTCCGGTGTGCTTGCCTGCTGTCCAGCTCCCTAGGCCCGTGTGCACATGTGCAGGCCCTCCAGTGCTCTTTTGTGTGCTTGCGTGCTCGCTCTCTCTGCTTCATTTAGTTTGACACTGTAATTGCAGAAGCGGCCAGCTCGACGTCCGGGAGCTGATCTCTCTCTACCCCTTCCTGTTGCCCACCACCTCCTCATTCGCACGGTCTCACCCTCCTCTCCACGAGTACGCGGACCTGAACCAGCTGACGCAGGGGGACCAGGAGAAGGTCGCCAAGTGCAAGCGCTTCCTCATGAGCTACTTGAACGAGGTCCGCAGCACAGAGGTGGCCAACGGCTACAAAGAGGACATCGACACGGCCCTGCTCAAGCTGTATGCGGAGGCCGACCACGACAGCCTGCTGGACCTGCTGGTCACCGAGAATGCCTGCCTGCTGACAGACAGCGCCGCCTGGCTGGAGAAGCACCAGAAGTGAGTGTCCTCCGCGTTCTGGGCTCCATGCCCGGCCCTTCCCCGCCTGGCGGGGAGACTGCTGGGAAGCCAACAAAGCCAGTGGGTGTGAGTTGCCAAGAGACCCATCAAGGGACTGCCCTGAAATCAGTGACAGCCTAGCTCCCCTTGGTTGTGTCATTTCCTACCTACCGTCCGGAGCTAATCCTAGTCTGGTAGTAGAGGGAGTGGTCCTTAGGGTGCTCCGTGTTCCATCGGGATTTGCCTGTGGAAGGCCACGGGTTTATTGGTACAGTCAATAGTGCACATCAGCCACTGATGACCAGTTCAAATGGATAGGTAGACATCTGGATAAATAGATACAGGGGGGAGGCTTCTGGATCTTGTTGATAAGGGGCCATGGCTTGAAACTGTCCTCATGTGCACAAGTTGGTGGGTGGCCACCCCCTCACCTCCTGCACAAGGGCAGTTGACCCATGGAGACTGATGGATGACAGTGGGCCGCTTCCTCATCCTGGGCAGGTGTTGCATTGTCGAACCTGCTGGGCCTCAGGTTTTTTCTTTAAAAGTGTTGGGTAACTCCTAAGCTCTACTTAGCAAATAAGATTCTTTGTCTGTGGTTGTTACGTATTTGAAATGGCGGACGAGCTGATGAACTCTCACGGGGACCGTGGCGGTTACATTGCTTGACCCTGTTCCGATGCCAAGTCAGCAGTCTCGTAGCGGGTCTCGGCGTGAGCGCTGGCTCCCCCAGCAGTCCCCTCAGTTTCCTGAGCGCACTGTGGAGCTCAGTCATTTTGTTTAGGACCAGGAAATACACTGACGCCTCGTGGTAGTGACTGGGATGGTAGGGTTGGAGAGTCAGCGTGGCCCTGAATGGCTGAGGAAGAGAGAAGGGGTCCAGCAACCGGTGTGATATCCTGGGAGTTTGCTCTTTGAGGGAAGAAATCTGACACCTCCTGGGTCCCCTGCTCCAGTCCTCTGCTGGGAAGAAGGGGGACCAGGAGCGTGACACACCTGCAGAATTTGGGAGGGTGGCCGTGGCTCCCTGTCCAGGCAACACCAATGTCATTGCTAATCCTTTCTACTTATAAATGAGGAAATGGAGGGCCAGGAGGGTAATCTTATCAAGGTCATACAGGTTATAAGTAATGAAGCCTCAGTAGAAACTCATGTCCTTGAACTCCAGGGGGCCTCCCTCAGGACTTTCCCTGATGCCCTTTTCTCTGTGATGCCTGGATCCTGTTGGCCTTTATTGTTGTTGTTCATGTTCAGACTCCTTCCCCTTCTTTCAGTAAGACAGCATACCTGCCAATATGTTTTTATTGTTTTCAGAGAGAGGAAGGGAGAGGGAGAGAGAGAGAAACACCAGTGATGGGAGAGACTCATCAATCGGCTGCCTCTTGCACACCTCCTACTGGGTATCGAGTCTGAAACCTGGGCATGTGCCCGGGAATCAGACTGTGACCTTTTGGTTCATGGGTCGATGCTCAACCACTGAACCACACTGTCCGGGTGCAAATAGTCTTTTAATATTAGGTTAAAAATAGCTAACTGAAGAGATATGAAGTTATAGTAATACTTAAAGCAATTGTCAAGCAATTTCAAATGTGATTTTCCGTAGTAAGTGGTTGTTGTTTTTGTCNATTTATATTGTTTTCAGAGAGAGGAAGGGAGAGGGAGAGAGAGAGAAACACCAGTGATGGGAGAGACTCATCAATCGGCTGCCTCTTGCACACCTCCTACTGGGCATCGAGTCTGAAACCTGGGCATGTGCCCGGGAATCAGACTGTGACCTTTTGGTTCATGGGTCGATGCTCAACCACTGAACCACACTGTCCGGGTGCAAATAGTCTTTTAATATTAGGTTAAAAATAGCTAACTGAAGAGATATGAAGTTATAGTAATACTTAAAGCAATTGTCAAGCAATTTCAAATGTGATTTTCCATAGTAAATGGTTGTTGTTTTTGTCATAGTATAGTTTAATTTGTCAGCTTATCTTAAACTTGAATGTGACCTCTTTTTGGAAATTGATNTACTTAAAGCAATTGTCAAGCAATTTCAAATGTGATTTTCCGTAGTAAGTGGTTGTTGTTTTTGTCATAGTATAGTTTTATTTGTCAGCTTATCTTAAACTTGAATGTGACCTCTTTTTGGAAATTGATAGGGTAAACTTTTTTTTTAATCTTCGCCCGAGTACATGTTTAGAGAGAGAGAGAGAGAGAGAAACATCAGTTGCCTCCTGCACTCGCCCGGACCAGGGACCGAACCCACAACCTGGGTATGACCGGGAATCGAACCCACCACCTTTTGGTGCACAGACGACACTCCAACCAATGGAGCCACCCGGCCAGGGCGGTAGGGCATACATTTTAATACCATAAGTAAATAAACAGAAATGAGGATCTTTTTTGTTGTTTGTAATTAGTTGTTGAACTCTGAGCTGAGTAGAACAGAGGGTGAGGGTGGGTGGGACCAGGGTCTGGGGTGTTACTGTGTGGGTGCCACCATAGAAGGTGTGGAGAGGGCACTCACCATGTTGTTTCCTTTCAGGTATTTTGCACTTGGACTCCTCTACCACTATAATAACCAGGACGCAGCTGCAGTTCAGGTTAGTTCAAAAGCATGTTAGCGTTATTTAAAAATCAGTACCGCTTACCTTAGTGTTGCTTAAAAATCATCACAAATTGATAGAGATCACTTTCCCCTGATTTATAGCTTTTTTAAAGAAGAAAATTAATACTGTTTTAGAAAGTGAATCCCTTGAGAAATGTTGGCCAAGAGTTTTTTTCTGTGTTTTTATATCTCTTTAAAGAACACTATGAAGGTTGAGTTTTTTGAAAATATGATTTCTCATTGAGGCCCCAGACATATGACATCACTGCCTTATCAGAAAGTTAACACTGGGAATAGCAGTTTATTTTATAAGACTGAAGCTGATCAAGGCCAGGTTAAACCATTGGCTAGTGTTAGAGCTGGGGCTAGAACCAGAGCCGCAGGTGGCCTGGCCAGATGCGGAGCCTGAATGGAAGTGACACTGAGCGTTATTCTTGCATCTGGCAGCGTCTGACCAACCCCATCACACTCTTGGGAGACTGTCCTGTGTTAGCTGTCATCCACCGGGACTGCGACGTCTCACGCTTCTCTAGTGTGCCTTCTTTCGTGTGATTTGTAAGCAGCCAGGACCCTCGGCACTGCTCACCAAGCTAGAGTCAGCCCTGTCATCTTGGCAAAGGCTCGCACGTATTTGCTTAAACTGCTGTGGCAACATCATTGCAGAACAGGCTGAAGGCCAAAGATGGGTTCCCTCCAGCAGGCGCCCAGTGGCTGAGAGGAGATTTGGGTGGCAAAGATAAGTTTTTATTTTTTCCGTCCCATAATTCTAAGAATTACAGCCTTGATGTAAGTGTAAATAATATCAGCATAGATTTGCAAAATTGAAATAATATGAAATAAATCTCAATGTATGACAGAATTCTACTATTTTTTTAAAAAAACGACACATGTTAGTGTATGTGGGATTAGATTATTTGGTTGAGGGAATTCAGCGTTGAAGATACTAGCACCATAAAAAATGTTGGCGTGCCGATGATAATTGGAATCAGAGTCTAGGCTTCTTGCTGGGGGCAGGGCTCAGAAGGGCAGCTCCTCAGAGAGGTGGCTGAGGTGCCACACCCACACCCATGGGGCGGTGGCAGGCTCCTGGCAGCCTCTGTCTCCTCTGCCCGTGACCCTGCTCCTTGCTGGGGTCTGAAAGTAAGCTTCAGTTTAGCTGGCAGGGAAGTTCCTGCGGGAGTGGCAGAGGCCTTTGATCGCTAGACCTCAGGAGACCTTGCGCAAAGGCTGCAGGGACACGGGCACAGTGCCTCGCAGTGGAACAGGACCTAAAAATCAGGACTTCCCGGGATGGAGAAGGTGAGGCCAGCTTCGCCGGCGGCCGTGGGTTACCTTCTGTGTCGAGATGTTGCTGGGGATGGTTTTGCTCGTTCCCTGCGGACGTGTTGGACACGCCCACCTCTCCCATGCGTTCCCTGTGCCACCCCGTCACTGTGGCTCCCTGAAGAAGGGAGGAAAGAACCTGGTGCTCTGTTTTCTTGGTTCCCTGAACCACGTCTTCTATATTTCTTTATTTCTCCGAAAAAAAAGTTAAATTTGATTTAAGCATTTAAAACCTGTGCTACTACTTTTAAGTATTAAAAGGCCGGGTCAGCAAGCGAGTGCCCTCGTCAGCGGATGGTGGCAGGGGGCGAGCTTTCGTTTCCTCCTCTCGCTCTCCTTCAGCTGTGGGTGAACATCGTGAACGGGGAGATTCACGACTCCACGCGCGCGGACCTGTACGACTACGTCGTGGACTTTCTCACCTACAGCCCGGACCAGGAGCTGGTGTGGAAGTACGCCGACTGGGTCTTGCAGAAAAGTGAGGAGGTTTGTGCTTCGTAAATGCGTTCAGGTTGGGGAGGGGGGGGGCGCGTGGTGAGAACAGACAAAAACCTTGATTTAGGTGGGTGAACAAGCTGTGCTTCGAACTCTGTCCCCTTCCGTTGTTCTCCCTTTAACACGCCCCCGGCCACTGGCATCCCAGCTCCTGGGCCAGCTCTGCATTTCAGCACTCGGGAGATGCACTGTTCAGCGTCCTGTCTGGGACGGGCCATTTTATAGAAGAGCAGGAAGCCTAGCCAGGCCCCTCACTGAGGCTGGGGCCTTTGTCGTCTGTGGACTGGATCGGGATCTGATGGCTGCTCTGCAGGGCTGGGTGCCAGGCCTGGGCCGCTCCAGGAGACCCGCTGCCCTATCTCTGCTCCCACCCTCCCTGCCCCCGCTGCCCCTGATGGGAAGCCGTGGGTCTGGAGGAAGGAGGGCAGCCGTGGCAGGATCGCCCATCTCCACGGCTGAGAGAGGACCTCTGAGAAAGTGCCTGTTCGCTGCTGGCTCCAGGGAGAAGAGCGTGCTCAGGACAGAGGGTCTGGCGTTTCAGTTCCCGCCGCTGAGAGTGTCTGCATTTCCTTGGCTCCCTTTGGAGACACAAAGTGAGCTTTCTGAGGCAGGGCCCTGGTCACAGATGTAGAGTTTCTGCCTTTCCAGAATCTGGTGGGACCGTGTTCTCCCTGGTGCTGTAGTCACTGGAGGGTCAGAGTCCTTGTGCTCCATGTACACGTTACACCATCTGTACTCTGCCCCGGGCACGCGCAGGACCATACGCCCCACAGGTCGCGCCTCGCAGGCAGGTCTAATGCCATGTGGCATGTGGGCTCCCCCACTGCTAATAGGTTACCGTGGCACATCAGGCCCCGGACACTCTGCCCCTGACTGTGCACCAGTCTCTGGCGTGTGCCATCTTCTAAACATTGCGACAGCCCCAGAGAGTGGACAATTATAGGTAAGGAGACAGGTTCAGTGAGCTAAGAAACTTCCTGGGGTGCGGTAGCTGGCGGAGCCATGCTGTGCTGTTTCTGTGATTGAGAGGGGGTATCGTGTGTGTGTGCGTTAGAGCCCACAATGCCCAGCGCAGGTGCAGGCTGGATCTATGGCCCTGCTCACCCCGTTAGCACGTCTTTGGATGACGGAATTGTACAGTGGGCCCCATAGACAGACCCGGGAGGCAGCCTGGAGATGTATCAGGGTTGGAGCCACCACATGGGTGTCTGTCAGGAGGACTGGCTTGCTGGCACTTTATATTCTTCCACTTCCTCGCCAGCCAGTGACCGTCCTTGTTTTAGGATGAACTTGATATTACAAAATTGTGCTTTATGGGTTGTCAAAACCTGCTACCAGTAAATGTTTCATTCTTTAATTTCTCACCCTTTTAAAAGAACCCCGCCAGGCTGTGAGAAGGGGCCAGACCCCAAACCCCTGTTCCGCTGCTGTCTCCTGTACACTGTTTTCTGTGTCACCAAAGCCTTGTTTTCTTGTCACCAAAGCCCGATCCTGCAGTGCTCCGAGTGCAGGTAAGAAGGGGCTTTGCAAAGCGTCGTAACTCGGCCGCTGCTCTTCCTGCAGGTTGGCGTTCAGGTTTTCACCAGGAGGCCTCTGGAGGAGCAGCAGAGCAGTTTTAACCCAGACGATGTTCTCACTTGCCTTAAGAAATACCCCAAGGCCCTTGTCAGATACCTGGAACACCTGGTTATGGACAGGAAGCTGCAGGTGAGCACCGCCCAGCTAGGTGCGGGTGTGCAGGTGGTGGCCTCCAGTGTGGCCGAGACGGAATCGCCCTGAAACGTGTTGGCAGATGGTCCTCTTGTAGCGTTTCTGTCCTCGGCTGCGCAGTCTGTTCTCGCGGATGGCCTGCGGGAACTGGAGGTTGTGAAAGAGGTGGGGGGGAGTGAGTACCATTTTTAACCCCATCTCACGCCCACCCAGCTCATGGTTCCCTCTCCATCCTGTCCTTGTTGTTTTTCTTAAGGACATGAGAGAAGCTGCACCTTTTTGGAGAATATTTAAGTCCTGTGGCCCTTATTTCTCAAAATGAGAAGAAACCCTTTATATTTTCTCCAAAGATTTTAAATTCACCTTCTCTGCGTTGAGGTTTCTGAGAGGTTTTCGACCCAGCCAGTGTGTTGTTAATTGTCCTTGAGACTGCACCAGCCCCCTGGGTGCAGGTCCGCTCCCCTGGCACTGCTGACCGGGCTGCCCCGGGCCCCCCTTGCGAACGCGTGTCCGCTTGGCTGTTCCCACAGAGGGAGGAGTACCACACGCACCTGGCTGTCCTCTACCTGGACCAGGTGCTGCAGCAGAGGCCCGGGGCCAGCGGCCCGGGCGCCGACGTGACGGAGACCCAGGCGAAGCTGCGCCAGCTGCTGCAGAAGTCGGACATGTACCGCGTGCACTTCCTGATGGGTGAGGAGCTCAGTGGTTTTCCACAGATAGCCTCTCCCAGGGCCGCAGGCTTCAGCATGGCTCTCTGGGTTGATTCCATGAGCCTTTGGGGCACAAAGCCAGCCTTCCTGGGGGTGGGGCGGAGCTTCCTGTGCGCCCCCCCCCCCC